ACACTAAAAAGGTTTTCCTAACTTTTATTATAATTTTAAACAAAATTTTAAGCTCTAGATAATATATTTACAATGTGTATAAGTGTGATAAAGAACCTTTATGGTACAAACCATGATAAATGTAAACAAGAATTTTTGTAAAAAATAACCTGTTTAATCTCATTATTATCTGGTTTTTAAAGGTTTATTAGCTTTAGATCAACAATGAATGTTGCATATTTCATATTTGAATTACTATGGCTTTTGTTAAAAAAAATATAAAACAGCATTTTGAAATAATAAAGTTGAGCTGTAAATCACCCAAGTACATATATATATATGATCAATTAAGGCTATATGATTATAATAAAAAAATTAAAAGGATTTAAAGGAAGAGTCCAAGCCCAAATTAGATTCGCACTCCTTGAATATGTGCCAGGTTTATGCCGCAGATTTACTGAACTACGAATCAGATTTCAAGATCAGGTGCAACATAACATGATCAGAATTCAAGTTATAATAAAAGTTTTTACAAGTTTTTAAAATTTATAAGCAACAGTTTATTCTGTACTAATAGTAGCGGTCTGGTTCGTCATCATTGTCTGTGCTAGTGTTTCATTAGGCAATTTTACTATGCAAACTACCCTTCTCTAGCCCATAACACTAACCCTAACATAAAGAACTTTAAATAATTTGTATTGCACTATAACTAGCATACTTCAACTAATGCCAATAATAGAATATTAATGTATTATATTTATTGGTTAATGATTTAAAACAATTACACCAATATATATTTAAAGGATTAAACCCTTTTTTTTTATGATCCAAATTCAAAGTTTTAGAAATAGATGTTTTGAAACAAGTGCAATCCCAACCTATTTTAGCTGTTTATCCTGATCAAACCTCTAAAAAATTTACCCATCAATATACTTTTATTAAGGAGCCTATTTCTTTACACAATAATCAAATAGAAGTTATTTCACTTTGCAATGAAGATAACAACCCTGCTACTAACCAAGACCAAGCCATTACAGATTCTAATATATAATTATCTATGATAAAATCGTTGCTATTATCTTCTAATCCAAAGATTTTATTTTTTAATATAAATCTTTCATCTCCAAACCCCAATACTTCTGATTTAGATATTTTATTTTTTAATTCAGATATTACACCTTCATCATCTAAATCAAAAACTAAAAAAAAACAAAAGACAACCATTTTATCAGATAGTAGTGATAATGAAACTACACTTTGGCCAAATTCAACTATTAAATCACTACTTGCCTATCTATCTAATAATATGTCTCTTTATTGAACAAATAAAGATAAATTTTATCTTCACGCTGCTATACATCTTGGCAAAGGTAAAACTGGTAAACAAGTTCATAATAAATTACAAAATCTTGTAACCAAGTATATGACTGAGAGCTTAAATAAGACTGATAAGGGTGTGTCAACTTGGCCCTTTTACACTGAAATGAATGATATATTGGGAAATCGTGAAAATATTAATCTTAATTATTTAATTAATAGCACGGGTCAGGTAAATATAATAATATATAATAAAATATTGTTTATTACAGTATTAAATATATATATTTATATATTAATTATTATATACTTATATTATTTAATAGATTTATGGTATTAGTTTAGAATAAAAAAATAAAG